ACCATGTAGTGTGTTTCTCCACACATCTTCGATGGGGTAGGTAGCCACACACTTTATCTGAATATCTGTGCCGTGCATGCGGAAGGGGTGTAGAACACGAAATTTTTGTGAAACCATCAATCTGCCTAATACACACGAACAGAGATTTGATAACATTACATTGATATGTGATGACATCTTACGGTGTGAAATACCCAACCTTTGTTGGTGCCATTGCCTTGTGTGATAATAACGCCAACACCGATATTTGATGGGACAAAGCGGGTCTCAAATGTGAACGGATGTGGAGGAGGTCCAGAGGTATTGTTAGTCCGTAGCTGAAGTACAGAATGGCTATAAGCCAGAATGTTAGGAGGTAGTAGAGGAATGGTTTGCGGATGCAGGTGAGGAATTTGTTGATTTCGTCGAGAAGTATTTTGAAGAGGCCACCGTTGATGATGACATTTTGTAGTTGCGTGGAGAAGCCCTTGCATTGGCGGAGCCAGTCGGGTTTGGATTTGTATTTACCATTCAATGCATCGGCCATTGAAAATGTGAAGCCGAATTTGAAGAAAAGTGGTAGGACTTCAGCGCATTGGACGATGGTGGGACAGAGGCATTTGTCTTTTTCGCCATGACAACCGTCGGGGCATTTGTTTTGTTTATCATGGTCACATTTGCGTTTTTGGAAATCCTTCTGTAACTGTTTTAGACCATCGTATAAAACCTCTGCGAGATAAATTATCCATTTCAAATAAGTTTCCGCGAAAGCTACGGAGACGTTGCAATAGATAACGAATGACAGGGGGTCAAGGTACTTGCCACAGGTTCGGGGAGTTGTGCATTCACTGTCACGGAGGGTGTGGAGGGTGGCGACATCGTTGTGGTCATCGGGATGGTCTTCACCTAATTTGTTGAGAGCGTTGGTAAACGTTTGCGATTCAGTATAGCACACGACGGTGAAATCATTCATTTTTTGTTGGATTTCAGTGTCGACACCATCAGTTTCCATATTCTCATCAAGATACAAGAAAAACGCGAAGAGATCGCCCACCGTTCTTGGTGTTCGTTTACATACAATAAGCAGGCATAAAGTTATATTGTAACAGCTGACAGAGTCACGGTCCTTTTGGGTGAAGTAATCAAGTATCTCCTTGAGATAGTTACCAGTGCGACCATTTTGTGGGAGGAGTTCCTTGTTGAATCCCATTGGTACTGGGCAATATAAATGAAACTGACGATGGGAAACATGGTCACTATATGGTACAGGGGTGACACCATTAGTGGGTACAAGTTGACCATTTTGAATTTGACATTTATTATCTTCTATATATTGACATCGAAAACCGGTTAGACAATCACATAAGAAAGCTTGAAGGGGGGAGGGTTTGGTGGAGCCGCAATTGGAGGTGTGGTCAGCGGCATCAGTTTGTTGGCATATCCAAGATTTTAGTGATGTGGCATCGGCTGTGCCATTGGTATTAATACCTTTACCGTATTTACAATAATACCAACCGCAAGCATTTCCCAAGTCGAATTTACATTGTCTTTTGAGGAAATATAATTGAGTCAATAAAAAGTAAACGATGTCCCATAGAACAGGGAATAATGCATTAGCTGTAGTGGGATATTCAAAGTTGAAAGCAGTATTAGAGTAGATGTCATGGAAGCCCTTTGGGGATTTAGGTGTTGTGTTGTCACAAATTGTTCCTTGCATAGTGCATAGGACCACCCCGGCGTAATGACAAGTGGTTGATATATAGCAAGAGTGAGGGTCGCTATCCTTTAAGGTAGGACCCCCTTCGAATTTAATACTACCACCACTGTTGTGATTACTTATAGCCTGTTTAATAGTTTCAGGGGCTAGCA